TCTGGTATTGCTTCTCAAGATGGCCAGTATTTATCAGTCTTGTCTTTCAAATTTTTTCGGGTTGAGCGTTCCTAATGACGGTAAATTCAGAAAAAGTTCTTTGGAAGCACCATTTTATACATACGATGCAAACTTCATGCAGGAGCTTCTTAGTAGGAATAAAAAAGCTAGCATTATCCTTTTAGGATCACGTTCCACTATAAAGATGAATTTCTATCACTTAATTCTCAAGTTTGCTGACTATGTTGAACGTATCTATCCCATCGAACTGATCATGACTTCCTTGATAGAGCGTTATTGATTAAAATGAAGTAATTGAACCAATCGTTCCAAGTGATAAAGTTGAAGTTACTCCTTCGAAAGTTTTATGGACGCAAAAAAGAGTTGGTTGACTGTTATAGAATATATGTTGCACAGATGACTACAGATATGGCATTATACTAACCATAATCTATTCCTTGTCATAAAGACAACAACCCGACCAAAATGCAGAAAACAGCCCAAGGCCACCAACGGGTCTTCAATGCAGCAAGACAATCTCACACCCGGAGGCGGGTTTCAGCTGGCCCCTTAACAATAATGTATACTAGTTCAGCGAAATGGATGCTTCTAAACTCCGAAAGATACAAATGAACCAACATTTACAAAACACACACAAGACGAACAATGACTAGAGGTTCCTGACTTGGAACAGGCGCATAAATGCGGTTTTTTAAACATGTTTTGTGAGATCCCAACCCTCCCCCTATACCTCTAGCGAATGTGTAGTAAACAAACACATAGTAAAACGCACAGTAAAATCAGTTTAAAAGAAGTCCGAGGCCAATGTTAGAATATGTAACAGAGGAAACTAAGCAAAATGACAATGATAAACATAAATTGATAAAGGACTACTGGCGGTTACTGACTTGCTAGCTCCAGACTTCATTTAAACTGATTAAAAGATTATGTTTTCATCATATGAAAATCAACCACAATCCCTCCTGTGAGGAATTTAGTATCATGCCATCATAAAAATTATACGAGAAGAACATAACCCGTATCATGCCAACATCTGGATTAAGAATAAATGCGTGAATCAATATAAAAACCAAAAATGCCATGTTTAATGACTTGACAACAGTATCGTAACTATATCCCTTGTGAATAAGTCTGTATAAAGGTTTGGTTAGCTTTTGAGGTGAATAACGACACATTACCATAAAAATGGGAGGTGATATACCTGAACATATATTATGTCTGCACGTTGGTTTATATTTACGAATGGTGTCCTTGTAGCGATGATAAAATTTAGAAAATTTAGAAAAAGTTTTGACAAGTTTGTGAACTTGTTTGTCATTTCTTCGTCTTTCGTTTCTTTGGGTTTTTTTTTTGGCACTAACATTGTCGGTTTTTCTCGAGTTTTTAATGTCCCCTTCGTATCATTCACCTTTTATTTTATTGAGAAAACACATTTGTGGTACGAGCAGAACTCTTAATATCCATTATATTGGACAACAGAATGGTCCGATCGCATTTGTGCAGATTACATTATATATTTTTAAAGGATATTATAATTATTATTTTTAAGAAAATACTCCCTCGGGTACAGTTGACCGTACCTGAATTTGAGCTATTCTTTTTTGGTCCCATTTTGTCATAAAGTTCTCATTTACTTATCTATACATCCCTGGCTATCAAATGTTAGGTTTGAACGTTCCTGCTGAAGGTAAATCAATGAAATCGGACGCACGAAATTTATAGAGTATTATTATAATTTACTAGTTAGTCATTAACGCTGCTGTTGGACGTTGCCATCAGCCCAGAAGTCAGTGCTTCGGTACTGACATGAATTATTTTATTTGTGTCTTAAATTCACCGTTGATAAATTAAGAAGTTAAAAAGAAAATAAGGTTCAAACCCCTTCTGTCAAAGTTGACTTTAGCTAAATTTGACTATTCTTTTTAGGTCAATTTTTGTCATAAAGCTGCTAATGTGTCTACGTATTTGCACATCCTGCCTGTAAGGATTAGAGCGTTCTTGATGAAGGTAAATCCTGTAGAGCGCTTTGGATGTAACTTATAAATTGTAATTTTTATTTGTACCTCCTGTTTCTCCAATGCCTTTATAGAACTCATCGTTAGTGTGAAGGTGACCCGAATCAACTTCACTTGATATTTTTTAGCTTCCTTGGCAGTTTGATACTGCTTTTCTGTTTTGTTCAGTTTCGATAAGGAATGTCATTATAATCTGAAAAGACTCTTTGTATCTTGAATGAATAATGCTATGCTTTCCATTTAAATAAAGATATTATTAAAGGATACACAAACTAGTCTCCGTTTTAAATGTTTATACTATTTTTTTTAATCATTAAGGTTAATACAAATGCTTTCATTAAAACTTCGCAGTTATTTTCTGTTAATAAATCAAGAAGTTTTTAAGAAACTTATGTTCTAACACCCTCAGGCTAAATTAACATTAACTCTTGATCATATAGCTCTTCACATGTTTAGGTCTTTTAAAAACATACTCTGTTTACATTCACTTCGGATAGTGTTATTTTCATTATGATATCATTACAGTATAAACTAATATAAGTTATTTATTTTTTATATTCATCATATTGTTCAGGTAAATATTCACTTTCATTGCTATTAATCGATTAAAGTTGATGACACTTTTCCTAAAACTTCAGGTTACTGTTAGTTTTGCATACTGGGGTATTCAATAACCCGTTAACAATAGCGATATCAAAGAAATTGTACGACGATACAGAGGGAACAGTAATAAAACATATACTAAGCGGTTTTTTTCTGTGCTACGTATAGCATTTCAAGAAATACGAATATCTAAACGATTATAAAAGGATACTTAAGTTCAGTCAAAATCATAAGCAGAGATGAAAGACAGTCACACAACATCATGACCAAAACATTGCTAAAAGAGAAAAAAAAACGAAACGAACAACAGCCCTCAAACACTGAATAGAAAAACAAAAGATTGTGTATAACAATAAAAAACCACAAAAAACGGAGGTAAATTCATGCGATCTGAAATGGTTTGCTATTCTTTCGCCACTGTGTCACCTGTGAACTTTCATTGCTATTTGTCAAACACACAACTTCATGTTTTGTTTATCAAATAAACACAAGTTAGACTATTAGAAGATTCTTTGTGAGACAATCATAACTCTTAATTTTCAAAAAGTGGTACAATCGAGATACAACATATTTACTTGAGCACCTGAGATCATCTCAGGATTTTGTTGGAGTTCGTGTTTCTCAGTCTTTAGTTTCTCGTGCTGTTTTTTTGTAGACTGTTGTTTGTCTTTTTTGTCGTTTTTCGGGTTTGCCTTGGCGTTTTTAGTTTATCGTCGACTTATGAATTTGAATATCCCTTTGGTACTTTTCGCCTATCTATCCTGTACCAAGTCAGGAAAATGGCCATTATTATATTATAGTTCGTTCCTGTGTGTGTTACATTTTAATGTTGTGTTTCTGTTGTGTCGTAGTTCTCCTCTTATATTTGATGTGTTTCCCTCAGTTTTAGTTTGTAACCCGGATTTGTTTTTTTTTCTCAATCGATTTATGAATTTCGAACAGCGGTATACTACTGTTGCCTTTATTTAAAGAACATTGGTGAAGTTGAAATTATCCCTACGGACGCCATCATTAGTTGATTGAACGTTGTGGAATATTCGTTTCACAGATGCGTCGGATATGTTTCAATTGTCGTAACTACAATCCCGTCCCCTTTTCCCCGAATGTGACCTACCGAAATTAGACTTGTTACCGGGTTTGTACTGACATGAGTAACACGACGGATGCCACCTGGTTAGCACCTGAGATCACCCCCCCTTTTTGGTGGGGTTAGTGTTGCTGAGTCTTTTGTTTTCTATGTTGTGTTTTGTGTACTGTTATTTGTCTGTTGGTCTTTTTCTTTTTTTAGCCATACCAATGTCAGTTTATTTTATACTTGTGAGTTTGAATGTCCCTTTGGTATCTTTGGCCTCTCTTTTATGGGAAGCTTCAGTTCTTATACATCCTTGGATTCCAAATAATCGGTTTGCGCGTTCTTGATGAAGGTAAATCCAGAAGGCGCCTCGGAAGCATGAAATTTATAACTTGTTGTTTCAATTTTTTACTGGTGGACTATCAGTCACCGAGGGTATCATTAGCTCAGTAGTCAGTACTTAGGTACTAACATGATTTATAACAAACCTTTCTAAAATTGTCCGTTTATAAATAAATTTTGAAATTCTAAAGAAGCTAAGGTTTCAACTCCCTTAGGCAAAGTTGACCTTAGATGGATATGGCTAATTTTTAGGTCCATTTTTGGTCATATAGTTCTTCAACTGTTTCGGTTCTTACACATCCTTTGGCTTTCAAATATTCGGCTTTGAGCATTCTAGGTGAAGGTAAATGCAGAAAAGCGCTTCGGACGCATGAAATTTAAAACTTGTTGTTTTCATTTTTTTAGAGTTTCTTCAAAGCAGATTTACTAAATAATCAATATAAAAAAAAATTACACGAAATGTTTTTTTAACATCAAAACGTTTCTCAAATTGTTTCTTGTGAAATTAAATACTTTCAAAAAGTAATTAGCATTTTAGCTTTATTTCAAATTTAGTCATTCTGCATGCTGACTACAAACTTTTTTTATCGCTTTTTGGTTAAAATTGCATTGAATATGTTAACGTTCATTTAGTCCGAACTAGATTGAACCACATGTTCTACAGTCTGTTTAAGTTTTGAGACAAAAGAAGCTTGCTTGATTGATTGTTAGTGTGTTTACGCAACATCAGGACACAACTCATTTCCCGCAACAAGAGAAAATTATTATCAATAAAAGCTCTGAAAATCCTATCCTAAAACAATCTTATTGTCCACGAATGAAAAAAAAAACACTCTGAAAACAGATTCTAATCAAAGATAAGATAACTTATATAATGTCTTCTGGCTATTTTTGTCATTTGGTTACTGCATATGATTCCCCATAATTCCTTTTTTTCACACACACTCACACGCATGTAGCGAATAGATAGATATTGTTTAATACTAGTTTTTTAAGCAGTTTTATTCGATTGAATGAAAAATGATCAAAGGCCCGTTCTGTTTCACGTTGTATTAGGTTTTTGACCATTCTTCTAAAAATAGAACCGAAGAGTTCCGAATGAATGTAAACAAAACATTCAATTATTCCCATGGATTATTTATATTTGAAAAATGTGTTAAATATTGTCATTATTGCACCTTTTTTTCGTGTATGCTTTTCTGAAATAGTGAAACCTAAATGTTACTGGTACATTGGTGGCGATTATAAAGACAATATAGATCTTAAATCTGTATTGAAAGACAACAGTAATCAAACTTTTATTACTTACGACAAAAATAATTCAACACGATTTTATTACAACCCATGCTACATGCTCAACAATGTGAATCCATTTTGTAATACAAGTGCGTTGTGCAAGGAAGACTTACTGAATTCTAAATTCGAAAATATCGGTGATTTTTCTGATGTAAGAGTAGAAATATTAAGTAATGGTGACTACTACAGGATCGATTATAATGTGTTACAGACATCAGTGAAAAAAGGTATTGTATTTTAGAAGTAATTATACGTTTCCTGGATTAGTTTCAATAACTTCAATAAAGATGTCTCTAAACGGTTCAATTCTACTCTAATGTATGTCATCGTCGCAATGGTTTTGTGATACACATTTACAAATGTATACTGCAGCATTCCATGTGAGTGGGGGTGTCGTGGCTTCAACCAAACGAATTTAAAAACTGTTTTGCTGCTTCTCATCATGGCCAAGCACTCGGTATTTATGAGAAAGAGCAAACATTGGTAAAGTTACATGTCTTAAGTTTAAAATTTATAAATACAAAATAACAGATTCTTTGACCACTCGTTAAGTGATGTGAATAAACTCACAATAGATACCAGGATTGAAATTTTGTACGCCAGACGCGCGTTTGGTCTACAAAAGACACATCAGTGACGCTCGAGTCAGAAAAGTTAAAAAAAAAAAGGCCAAGTAAAGTATGAATGACCGGTTTTCTTTTGATCTGATGGCTTGCAGTGTTTTAAACTAAATCATGTTTTGGTCGTTTAGATTTGATGGCCCTTATCCGAACACTTCAAATTACTGAAAGTTTTGCACATGCAGGCATTCGATAATCCATTACCAATTACGATAGGAAAGAAAATGCACGATGATAGGGAGGAACAGTTACAATACATAGATCTACGAAGGCGTTTCCTTCTATGATACCTATAGCATTTCAAGTCATACGAATATCCAAAAAAGTATGAAAGGATACTAAAGTTCAGTCAAAGTCATAAGCCTAGATGAAGGACACACATCATGACCATCACATTCCAAAGCGAGAAAAAATGAAGCGAAAAAACAGTCCAAAAACACTAAATAGAAAAACTAAAGATTGAATATAAATACCAAAAACACCAAAAACGGAGGTGCATACATGTGAACTTGAATGGTCTGCTGTTATTTCGCCACAGTGAAAGTCGTGGTGTTACTCAGGCTAAAATGCAGTGAGAGTGGATTAAGGGATTTCTCATTTCTAAAATTAGATGACAAGCTAACACGGTCGGTCGCATCTATTTCATTGGACATTAGATAAAGGATACAACAGGTATAGTTAGGTTTGCTTCATTTGATTACTTATTAGCCGAACCGCATGGCGTACCAAACTATAAGCTTGGGGAGTTTATACATTTAGAGGTTGACAGTGAAGGTCGTGTGTGACATCAACGTCCATGGCCATTGCAAACATTTCATTTTTATGAAGCAACATTTCTGCCTTTTGGGCTTTTTCCTTTTTATTTTTGCCATGGCGTTATCAGTTTATTTTCGCCTTGTTAGTTTGAATATCCCTTTGGTATTATTTGCCTCTCTTGAATACGAAAAAATCTAATTAAAATACTTTAAATACTTGAAATGAAACTCATCAATGATTAATATTGAGATTTTCAATCGATTAAGAAGTAACAAATCAGAGGTAATAGCCTATAACGGAGGGAATCGCATGAACTCCAAAGCAGCAACACTGGGTGCGTTGACAGGGTAAGTGTCTCCCACTATACATTGCATGCATCACCATACGAATGCACACCCAGTCAAAATGTCCCAATCGGAAATAGGATACGATCCGTAAAATTACAGATGAAATGACGATAGGGTATCAAAAGATTTAAGACCGCGAAAACATATCGTTAGTGAGTTACTACACAGACACATCGTATCAGTCAACAAATTCCTGATGGTGAACGTAAAACCTATGTATTGTCGTTTTCATTCTTTCTTCCTCATAACTCTCTTGGATCAGTTTTTTGTCAATGGAGCACATCCCCGTTAATGAAGTCCGTTTAGTGTGAACATACTCGAGCTCAAAGTACTAATTAAGACACGAAAACGCCATACGACGGGACAGAGGGTATGTTACTGCTTCGAAATGGGAAGTTTACAAATGGAAAGTAGAAATCATACGGTTTGTCATTGATTCTTATTTGAAGTCGTCTTTTTGAGTAAATATCGAGGAAAAGATCGAAAAATGAAGTAGACCTTCTAGTTTTGTATTATCCTAAATTTCAAGTTCCGTGGGATATATGAGATTTAAGCACTCACTAGACTGTGGGTTATGGAGGAACATGACATCATCATTATATCTGAAAAAGAAATTAAAGCATAAGGAACAGTAGTTATAAAAAATAAAAATTGTAAAGTCTGTGATTAAAGATTTTTTAGTAAATCTTTAGAATTTTTAAAAACCACTAACCTGAAAAAAGAAATAAAAACGGCACATAATTTGGAAAAGCATGATCAAAATGTAATCGCTACAACAACAAGCTAGATAAGCCATTTGCGGTGGTTAGTTGAATACTGCCGTTAAAAAAAGAGAGAGAGGATGCATTCATTATAATTATATTATCAACACGTAATGTTAGCGCTACATTTTTATGTTCACGTATCTATTGCAGATAGTACAATAACTTTGAAATGTATGGACACTAATAAACCACAATTTCAATATAGAAGATCTGAACTACAAGACAAATACCTCTTTTCCATGGCATCAAAACGATTCTGCAGAAGTAAATTCAGCATTGGTACTATAATATGTGTTTCTTTTTTATCCATTGTACTCGTGTATCTAGTCGTAGGTGAGTATCAATATACATGATTCCAACAGTGATTATTGTTATAAAAATGTTAAATATTTGTATTCGTGTTAAGCTCGTCCAAGTTCTTTTTTGTGATTATTGCTTTGAGCAATACTTAGCTTTAACCAGGAAAAATTGGTACCATTAATGTTATTTTATGTTGCAAAAGAATGAAGTATTCAATTGGTAAAAACAGGACAGTGGTTAACTAAAGAAGACACGTGAAAAAAATCACAAGCAACATCTAAATGGACAGAACTAGGGTTATCGCATAGACATGCGAATTGTTAATTAACGGACTCCAGTTTATCAAATGAGTAAAGCTAAAATACAAATTCCTTTTAAAAAGAAGGAAAGTCATATCAAGTGTTTGAACGGAAATCATATTCTGACGAGTAGCCACCACTTCTGTGTTGACAACAAATATCATTGATATGGTCATATATATATATAACTCAACTATTAACAAAACTTTGAATTGTTCGAAATATTATGGATTTTCTACCCCAGGAATAAATAGCCTTCGCTGTATCTCGCAAAACCTTTCGGAATTCAGGGTCCTCAATGCTTGTCAACTTCGTACTTGATTTGGCCTTTTTTTTTAACCTTTTTGATTCGAGTGTATAACTGATGGATCTTTTGAAGATGAAACGTCTGGCGTATAAACCAAAAGCTTGGCATCTTTGATGAGGTTTTTTTTTTTGCAGCATCCGTCCATTAGCAGTCAGTTTGGTTCAATTTTGTAAAAATTAAAAAAAAAATTCGATCATGTATTATTGGCTTCACGTTAAAAATCTAACCTCACGTCTGCAACTTGTTTTTTTCTTAATACGATTTGTCTATGATCATCGATGCTTCGAGGAGGACCGAAATTCTAGAATGTGCCATCGACTTTATTGAGTTTTCTTAGAGCAGTGAAATGATAAAAATAAATATGAGAGGACAAGAGTTTGAAATTGTTGTATTACATTTTACACATTTAGAATATGAATATTTAATCGAATTTTCCTTTTTTCAGGTATTCTATACAAGAAAGCTGTATTAGGAGTCTCTGGTGTACAGCTTATACCAAATGTCACATTTTGGAAAACTTTGCCGGGTTTAATAAAAGACGGGTACTTGTTCTTTATAAGCCCATGTATTGGTAATAGAATCGAATATGATGCTTATGAGCGCATTTAGAATTAGGCATATGTTAGTTGTCACACTGTTAAAATATAATGGTAAATGACGGCATTGAACATTTGAAATCCAGTGTGCAATATTATATAATAAATAAGAAGATTACTTATGGTTAATCTACCTAACTATATAATTACTGAAATGATTCTTTATTTTAAAGTATAATGTGACATTTAATGATAATTACAATCCTTATAACATATTTTATAAATCCACTATATGTGTTCGATCAGAAATGATGAATCGTTATGGTGATTGAAATTAGTTTAACATGGACGAGACAGCAAAACTTTACATTTGTAAATATACAAATGGATTTAATATATTTACCAGCGGGTACCTGGTATTAAAAAAAACTGTTTAAATTTGGGACATGTATATGTCTTTCGTGTTCGATTAAATATAATTATTATTGTATGGAATTTTTATTGTCAATTTGTACATTGATATACTATTTTAGAAGACTCTTTATTATATTATTTTATCATATTTGGAATGTGCTTATTTATTTTCATGCTTTCAACTCTTTTTATTTATGAAAAATTAAAACGCAGCATTTATTATAACAACCTTTATTTGTTAATGTTATTATAATTTTATGATTTTTTCGTCAAATAAACTTATGTCTTTGTACAATGTTGTTGCTGTCATTATTGGCAATATGATAGTATTTCCCTATTGCCCTATGTAAGCTTTTGTAGTAGACCACTTTCACTGATATTTTGAGGCAATGGTTAGATTAGCAGATTAGAATGGTTTCCTTTAATTTACTAGCAGTCCACAAATTGAAATTCTTTCGTCTAATGTCATTTTCATCTTAATTTTATTTTTTTTATAATCATTTCAACGGAAATAACAGTTTTGCATAAAGCATTTGTAGTGATATAATTTCAAATCACATTGCACTTCAAACTATTTTGTTAATGATATACATTTTAACCATCTTGAATATATCGTAAATCCCATATTCATTGCATATTTATTTATGTAAACAAAACATTGGTAAACCATAGTTTTTGTAACAAAATAAAATACAGAAAAATAAATTCAGTTTTTTCCCTGAATATTCTTAAAAAGTAAAATAGCAAAATACCGAACTCCAAGGAAAATTCAAAACGGAAAGTCCTTTAACAAATTGCAAAATAAATCAAAAGCTCAAACACATCAAACGAATGGAAAACAAATGTCACATTCCTGACTTGGTACAGACATTTCCTTATGTAGAAAATTGTGGATTGAACCTGGTTTTATAGCTAGCTAAACCTCTCACTTGTATGACAGTCGCATAGAATTACACTTTATTGACAACAATGTGTGAGCAAAACAAACAGACACAATAGGTAAAACTGTCAAAAATTGGGGTACAGCGGTCAACATTGTGTTATAATCTTAATCACTATAAAAAAAATAACTATTTCAACAAAGAAAACCAAAATGGCAAATAGACACTCTATAGACAAAGACATAATTATGCAAATAGCAAGGACATGTGTATCAGAAATAGTCCCTTTTCCTGAATTTAATGTGGGTTGTTGTCCAAGTGAATGGTCAAACAACACTATCCATATAAGAATTTCATACATAATAATTGAGCTTTTTGTAGCATAAACTAATGACCCTTAAAACAAAAAAATATTAATATTACAAAATTAGTACTATTTTTGTCGCCGTTTTAACTCACTGGCTGACATGGGCTCTATAATTTCTGCTTAGCGAAACTGAGAAAAACTTTTTTGCAAGAACGACTGAACCAATTTGAATAGAACTTGACAAATATGTTCCTGTGAATGTCCTTGAGTGTTGTTATTTTGGTTCAAATCGGAAATTAAATATCGTTACTAGCGGAGGTTAAAGTTTACATTGTGGACATTACGTTGATTTCCTTTTCTTTTCAAGAACGGATGCAGTGAATTAAAAACATAACATGTAAAAATGTTTTGAGAAGGTAATCACCAAGTGTTGATAGTTTTGTCCTGATGAAAGTCCAAAATAGCTTCGAGTGAACAATTCAAAATGACTGCCATCTGAGGGTAACGTTTACATTAAAACCCTTCTGGAAAATACATTTTGCTTTCATTTTTTAAAGAACAGAAGAAGAGATATGAAAACAAACTGCACAGAAACATGCCTTAGAAGATAATAACCAAGTTTTTGGTCCCATGTGGCTTCAAATGGCCAATATATTTAGCTTAAGATCATGATATTGGTATGCTGCTTACAAAACAGCTACTGGGTTAAGGGGTATTTATTAATAGTAATTTTATAGTAACTTGTTGGTGGTTTCGTCTTTTGATGTCTGCATTGCCTATCTTCTCTATGAAGTGTATGGCCTATGTTAACCAAGTGTGACATAAAAATGTTTCAAACGAAATTTGTACAGAAACCTTAATTTTTTTCGATTCTACGAAACACGTGACTGCGAAAGGCAATGCTTGATTCTGACAATTTTAAAGTTTCTTTCCTAAAACAAGTAGACACTATATATTTCTGATCTTGTTAAAGGAATGATGATTGGGTGACTTTTTATGCGATTTCCTATTTTATGCTTGTTGGAAGCCTTTATGAACCCTATTCTAAAAAACAGCAAAACTCTCTTGAAAGATTCGTAGAAAGTCATAGTATAGAATGCTCTTTCACTTTCAGTGTATATTCTAAGCATGCCATACCAACCTTAGAGCCTCTATTTATATCTTTTGATTTGGTAGTAAAAACTCCTAATGAGTCGAGCGAAATAAACTGTGCTACTGTCATGACAACTTACATCCGGGTAATTTCTGGACTGATGTATAATGGAAAGGGTACATGTAATTTTCAGATCTCTGAATTATATATAATTTAATCTGTAGGAACCATTTGGAAATTAGGATTAAACTAACAAACTTTCTCGGTTTTGATATTGAATAAAACATAACTTTGTACTCTAGACCCGCGTTATTTGTCTACACAAGACGCACCAGTGGCGCTCTAATAAAAACAGTTAAAAGGCCAAATCGGTTGGACAAGATTTCAATCGATTACATGTTAAAATCTAACGGGAAAAGGCATTCGGGTACCGTTATTGTATTTTGTACTTTTGATTATATGAATTAATATGATTGTACGAGATAGTCCAGTCAACAACATCTCTGTTACACAATAGAGATTGGCTGTAAAATATATACAATCATTTTAATGAACTTTAAACCTATGCCTAGTGGATCAGAAGTTCAAGAGTAGCACCTGCTAAATCGATAATGAAGTCCGTTCGTAACTTTTGTATCCACATTTATGTCTGGTTGTTAGTCGATAAGGGTATGTTAGTAAACTGTTGTCGAACAATGTTTTAAATGCTTTATATCTGATTTATATATGTTTTTTAACTCAGCCAAATCGTATCAGTCAAATTTGGAGGACTTCACTAGTCGTTTGTAACGACTCGGTCATTTTGCATTGGTCCACTAACTTAAACACAGAAATTGTCCTTTTCCTGAGTATAAAATTTGATGTTATGCCCGCCTCTGATAAATCTTTATAACTTGCTGAATTAATTTTCTATACATACAAATACCGCTGCATTAAAAGTGTACGTACAATGTATATTTTCCTTTAATGATTGTATGCTGGCGCAATTCAGCAAGTTTGATCCGACTATTGGGATCCACACGAATAAGACAATTAAGAGGTGTTTAGATTCATCCTTACACTTAAAACTTAAGACTCATTTGTGCAGCTGAAGAAGGTTAGCAGCAGCTAGGTTAATTTTTTTAGTAAGAATCGAAAGAAAATTAGTGCTCAAGAAGCCTGCGCGTGTAAGAGTTAGTCAGACAATAGTTAATAACATAATGTTTATTTAATAAGAACTTAATGAGAATTTTATTATATTTGCACATGTCTTGTGCATTTATTTCATCGTCTGAACATAACTTTTATATATGGATGTTACGAGATATTTTTATCTGTTTTTTTTTTCTTCATATCAGCATGCTTTATATTTCAGCAATCTACTTTTCTGATAAAATTTCTATTGAATACCTTTGAAGTTTCAACATAATCTTTTTTGTTTTGTGAAAATATGTTACTTCCCTTTAATGTAAAAACATTTAAATATGCAAATATACTGAATCATTGAATTGATATTAAACAGTAAATACACCTTTAAATAGTTTACCTGATTCTATATAAGTGGAGGTCCGGAGAGAACGGTGATCCTACATTCATTCTTATAGACGTTCGCACTATTTGACCCCTTTTTGCAGCAAGTTCTCATAAAAATATTTATCTCTTAATAGTGATTTTCATTCAAAATATTAAGATCTCCTAATAAATACGTATGATAAGCGGGGAGCTTAAGTATACTATGATCGTAATTAACTTTGTTAAAGTATACCTTCTCAATTGTTAAACTCCCTTATCTGGGGTAATATATATTCCCCCCTACGATTTCATAATTATAAACTAGTAGAAAAAAAGAAACTGTGCATCATAAAAAAGAATTGTCTAGAATTAAAAAAACCGAATATTTGAAGTTATAAGGTGCCAAAATCCTGTCAAAATGATACTTTTTGAGTTACCGGTGATAATCGAATCCACGCAATTTTGAGAAAGAGTTGGTCCTGCTTTGTTTCATAAAAAAGAATGGCCAACGTAGATATAAGTATATTGTCTAAGAGAGGGATAAATCGAACTTTGTAAAAATCACTCTGATTCAAACAAAAAATTCTCTGAAACTGACATTATCAAGATTCTTAATTTCTTGATTGGCAACATATTTGTTACGTTTGGAGGACGTAATTTTCAACAAACAATCGGCATTCCCATGGGAACCAACTGTGCTCCACTTCTTGTCGATTTGTTCTTTTATTCATATGAGACTGACTTTAAACTAAAACATCTGTACACCAAAGTATCTAAAATCATGTTAACCAAGATTTCAAAATCTCACCGAAGTCACAAGGAAGTTCGACCGTACATTATATCGCTTAAATTCAATCAATCTGTTCCATATATCAAATAACATAAACGGTGCCAATTTTTCTGCACCAGATGCGCATTTCGACAATCAATGTCTCTTCAAAACCAGAAATAATGTAAAATGCACAATGCTCTATAATTCAGACGGTTATATGACTCTACAGTGTCACCACACGACACATAAACATGTGCTATTGTTCCATGACGAGGTTTTTACAAAGGGACATTGCGTATCCTAACATAAATTTTATCCAATTAACCATATTACAGACATATATAAGATTAATGTTTTCAAAATTTGTCATGCATTGAGAAATGCACAGTTTTTATTTCCTCTATAAATAGCATCTGAAGCATTTTCATGTTGATATTGAATTCGGTTAGACAAACTCAACGATATAGCAGTTAATTATCCCATTATCAGAAGGAAAAAAATATATTATGGATCTACTCTTTAAAATTTGAATTAGAAGGATTCAATGCTGCCAAATAAATCATTCGCATTTCCGCTAACAATTTGAAAATATAATGGAAGCGCACCTGCTAAAATATTAGATTTAATTGCAATCATGAAACTTAAAAAGAAAAAGAAAATTCCTTAAAAGCTTCCTACTAATGACAAATGGAACAATCAACATAGTGGAAATGACACGATTATGACATTTTCATTTGTCCATATATATACAAGTTATACACAATAAAAACCATTGTCATTATGGATTTAAAAACAATGGAACCTTTATATACTAATACTTTATTAACTTTGTTGTTTGCATTTAGTTTTTGTATGGATATCAATGATAAAACTTCGAAATATCTACAAAATTCAACAGCACTCACACCAAATATCAATGAATCTACAACTGATAATACATATGGTCATGATTTGTCAACACGATTAACATTCAATAACCCTGCAAAAATTTCCGACGACTTCAGCAGCATTCTACAAGTCACAACCCTAGGCTTGGACGTTCCCTTACGATATAACGTTTCAACGTCAGAACCAATACAGTATGAGAGCAATACTGGCTTGTCTGTTCAATCTGAAAAACAACATTCATTTGGCAAGATGTTCAATTCTTCTATTAACCAA